ACGTAATTTCCGTCTGGACGGATAATAAATGCGCGTGCCCTCTCACTGTCTTATCATTTGAAGCAGTTGGCAGGCATTGTTCGCTTTTTGCCAATATGAAAAAGGAAGAAGAGAAAAATAATGGCTGAGAGGTAAATACGAAGAGAGCTGTGCAAAGACGTGAATTTATTTGTGGCAGGCTACAGGGACGACGCGCTTGGAGATCATAACGACGAGCCCAGTCTTATCGTCGGTAGTGGAGGTGCATTCGAAGCCAGCCGACGTGCCCGGCGTGAAGAACAATCTCGCCGAGCCTGAATACGACTTCCTGTCCAAGCAACCGACCGAAATTGTCGACGAAACGTATAAGGTAATGTATTTCGTGTACCGTACCGCGCATCCTCTGTCTCTTTGCACTCTTTTACTACGATCGCATCTCGATTAGAGCGCGCTGAAAATCAATTGGAAAGTAGAGACTCTTGCATAAGCCTCGTTTCGGTCGGTTTATAAAAAAAAAACTTGTGCACATTTCTAAATTACCTTTGCGTAATTGCGATTTTCCTTCCTTTCAACTCTTGTTGCCGTCCGACATATAATAGATTTCACTCGATGCGGGACTTGGGAAGCGCCGAGCAAGCGTATATCGGCGTCTCGAAAGTCCAGCCACATTTCTATCCGCATTTCCCCCATTTTCCATGGAAAAATATAACGACTTTAAATAAGTGTCTTAATCTTTAAGCAGCAAAGTGCATATCAAAACTAGAATGCTTTAGTATTTAGAAAGATTTAGAATGCAATTTAAAGCGCATATGAGATCATTAAGAATTTATCCTTTCGATCCTCTTTCGATATTTCTTGCTTTGTCTTGTTTTTTTTTTTTTATTTATTTAAAAATGAAAAACCAGTTCAGCTTATCCGGTTATTGAAACTAAAGTGAAACCTGTAGAATAAAATATTAGCTTATAATAACGCATTAGAAATTCCACTCGAGCTACGTACAATGGAAAAGTAGATAAATATGTCAATATAAGAATTTATGGATTTATGACTAAAATCAGCCTAAAATAATTTTGTGTGCAAATTCTATTAGTTAAATTATTTTGTAATTTTATTAACAGAATAATATTATTCATTATCCTTAATCAGCTTCTTTTATAATTATAAATGCTTATAACAACCGCGGTCTCGACTTCTTGTAAAAAAAATGTTTTCATCATTGCAAAACATAAAGATTAACTTAGTTGTAATAAAATTAAATAATGTGAATTTTATTTTTTTACATTAAACATTAATTAGCGATATAATCATTTTTATCGATAAAATAAAATTTTTATTTTCTAGTTAAAGAATAAGTATCAGCAAACATAATATTACTATTTGGTAAAAAAAAAAAAAAAAAAAAAAACAAATCCTTACAAAAATTTACGAATTTATGAATAAATAGATATCGATTTTAACAATTGTAAATGAATATTGTCGATAAATAATTATAATATACTAAATCATTTTTTCTAATCATTTAATTTGTATTGTAAGCAAATCATTGATTTTCAAATCTCAACTGTCAAGTAATATTCCAGAACCTTTCCAAGGCATTCATTTGATTTAACTCCTAAAAAATAATTATTATTATTACAAGAGAGATTATTACAAGCGGTTTTCTCTATATATCTAGGGTTCTCTTATAAATGCGTTTCCGTAACCTCATATAAGACTTGGTATATCACGTATGGATATTTTCATTGGATACCGTCCCTGGAATATCGAAATTCGGCATTTTTTCATTATTGAAAGTACCTACATAAATTCTCAATAATAAACAAATATATTTTATAAATTTATCCCACGATGCCGAAATAATAAGAAGATGCAGAAAATAAAAGAAAAAATGAAAGGCAAACAATGTAGGCCAGTCTGACCACGACCTCGATCTGCTCCTTTCCACTCCTATCCGATCTCTAACGGCCCTTTCTAATGCGTTGCCTATGTGCTTTTTCACCTCGAGTGAAAATATTTTCATCGCACAATATAAAAATTAAATATAATTACATTTCCCATTGAATTATATCCTTTGCATGGCTCTTTATCGCGATTGACATTCTTGCTCTAGGTTCTGCTAGAATTTTACATATAATATCTTAACCACCGGCTATACAATTTCTGTTCTTTGTATATGAAAATATATTCTTTTCACCATTCTCTTCAAAATAACCTATTTAAAGAAATTATCTATTATACGTCATACATTATTTATAGAATTTTCAACGAAGGCTTCTTTCAGTAACTCAAGAATTTATTACACAATATTAGGCGCTATCGTTATGCTTTACGACAATTCTGATCACATATTAATCTTTAGCTACAACTAAGTCATCTATAAAGACAAAGATATCATCATAAATAAACTATAAATCTACCTATATATATATATATATATATATATATATTTTAAATTTGTTGTAATTATATAAACAAATATACTATAGAAATATTATGTAGTGATGGCTGACTATGTGAGGCGTTTTAAAATTCAGTTTTAAATGGATTTTTATTTGCGAGGCTTGCGGATACAATTTCCTACATATACGCAGATTCACGAATGGATAAAACATGTTAGATAGCGTGCTATAAAGTATCGAATGGGCAATAAGAACGCTTAATATCGTTTCCACAGGTGATAAATCTGCGCCCATCTTCCAAGTTGGCAAGCATCGGAAGTCAAAAGTTACGAGCATCATCGCGTCGTGATAAGGAAAATCCCACGGGTCTGGTAACGCGTCTCGGCGGCACCATCGTTAAGGATGGTTTAACCACCGTCCACGAAACCAGTGTCATTGGTACCTATATTAATGGGAAGTATGCCCAAGTGCTTCAGAGCTCTTCGCGGGTCCTTAATACTCCTGGCCAAATCGTCGGCGGCGCCGGATTCGAAAACGCAGCTAAGATAAGGCCCAATGGCACTCAACGCATCCTCAAGACTCTTGGACCCCAGCAGCATGGCAAACTTAAGCAACAGCTGGAACCGACAGTTCCGATTCAAACCGAAGAATCCCAGAATGAACCTCAGTCCGGTAAGTATGCCCATTTCTTGAGAAAATTTGTACGTACTTGTTTCCCATGAATTCCATTTTTTGCTACTAATGCGTTTTGTGATTTAAAAAGTACATTATGAGATGATGTGAGGTGTAATAATAGTATTCCGTTGAATGTCAAGATGTGCCTGGAAAGATTTTTTTTATTCGTTTCTGCATTAATGCTCCCTTGAGGGAGGGAGTAACACGAAACTCCTAAATAAACGATGCTCTTTTCTAGGAGGGAAAATGTCATAAGGTAAAATATTGCCCAAGTATTTAAGTTTTGATTGAAAACGTCTTGTGTAATATTTCACGTAATCTCGTATATATTCTCAGAATGCCAAACGTCATTTTCATTTCTCTTTCTAGATTTTGAATTACATAGGAAAGTGCCCACCTCATAATAATAATTGCTCCTGGCGAAATGTAGTAAAAAATTAATGCAGTCTGTGATGAAAATCTATATTGATTTTTTACATAACAAATGATTAATCAAAAATGTAGAATAAATATTTTAATGTATTGTTTTTTGTGTAATTTTCGATGCTTAGAGCTAATGTAATATTATAATTAGTCTCGTCGTGCTTTTCATACCGTATATTATTATTTTCATGCATTCTATTTAAATAGAATTACCATTCATCCTTGTATATTTCTGTACATTGATGAAATGAAAATGACGACATAAATTACCGCCACATGAATTAATAATGCATTAAGCTGCTATACTCAAAACAAAAAAAACAAAAAAGACATAGATGGGGCGGGGGGGCTTTACATTCGCACGCTTATCCGATTGATGTAAAAGACTAGTCAATCCTACAACCGCCGGAAATCGATACTTGATAATAAAAAATGATCCACAGGTCTCGGAGGAGTACGACCCGGTCGTCGTCAACCAAGCAATACTGTTCGACCCAAATTTCGCAATAAGATCGTTGACGAGACCGAAAGTAACGAGAGCGGAGCTCAACAGAACCGGTCCTTAAACAAGAATCGACCATCCGGCGTTCGACTTAACTATAAGTACTTGTACATTAAAATTGAAAATATATATCCATACCGAATATTTTTCGTTTATCAATCGGTGGGCAACAGCTAAAACTACTGTACGTCAATTTAAAATAGCACATTGTGAAAACTACTCGTTGAGTTGGATATTTCATTCAGTGCTTCTCACTGGCTAAAATGATATTTATTTTTTATTTCAATTTATTTGAAACCGCATCAAAATGAGCTAGATTCTGTTAATTATCATTTAAAAAAATGCTATTGTTATAGTCACAAGTAATTTTATAAATATGCAAATATATTGCAAGTACGCTGCTAAAAACTAGATTAAATTAATCTTTCAAAATACGAAGCTTCATCCTTAATTTATAAAATAGAAAACAATTAAATTTAATTAAAAAATGACTTACCGCCCTTCGCCATATTTTTATTTATATCTATAAGCATCCCATTATATTCTTTTTATAAGCTATTTTTGTAAGCTAGTCATGCTAAAATTATAAAAATAATAATAACTGTAATTAAATTACCGAGTCTTTTGAGCATTAAAATTCAATAAGCAAATCCTTTCAATTTGTATTTTCATTTAAAAAATATATTTTCATATTGATAAAACTAAGACTTAACAATGAATGAAACTTGGTTAAAAATTTTTTAAAAACTTGGAAAATCTTTGAAAAACCAATGCTTTCAGTTTATTCAAAATTTATAAAATTGGAATAATTCTTTTAATCGAATGCTTTCTTCTCAGTTTTCTTAAATATACAAATTCATTAATATGTTTACACAGCTGTTCTTTCAGCCATATAATTTAGTTTAACGATCTTTTGTGCAATTAATCCAGGAACAGAACCCATCACCAAACGACATCGACGACAGAGTCATCCAATGGAACGCGTCGACGTAGCGGTTTCCGTCCGTCAACACTCTGTCAAACGTGAAATTATAGAATATATATATATATATATATACGCTTAAGATTAGATTGATTAATTAATCAATGGCGCTTGACCTAACGTAACAATTATTTACTTCCAGGTTGAAGTTCATGGACCCGGTATTCAGCCAGAACGAGTTCCGCGGCCAAATCCAAATTGCCACGCACCCAGGGTCGCTGGTCCTACAAAACAACGCCTAAGCCACGCATCCAAATTCGTAAGCATAGTGACGACGAGCCCCGACAGCCGGGATCTGTCGACGCCCAAGCCCAGCAACAATTACAAGCTCTTTCGGCCTCTGGAACCGAGGATGCCCCTTTGCCTCTGAACCAGCGTAAGCTCCAAGAGGGTGAGCTAGACGGAGAACTTGACGAAAGCGAGTCCGAAGACGTCATTAACGTCAGCGTCCAGCAACAACAGCAGCAACAACAGCGACAGCTAGAGCCGCCTCAAATGGCCGAGAAAATCCTTCCCATAGAGACCATTAATGTTGAGATATCGACACCCGCGGATCTCAACGACATATACTTCGAGATTGCAACCGTCAAGTCACCCTACGAGTTCCAGGTACTCGTTTCCCTCATTTCTTCATTCGATAGCCTAGCTTATAACTTTATTAATTTTTTTTTACATACAAATTGTTTCCTCGATTCCAAACGGATACTTAAACTATCGTAAAATATTTTAAATTAATAAGTAGACCAGGATTTATAGAATATTCGTACGATTTTTATATGATAATCGTTGAGTTCGACGCGCAGCTTCATATTTGCAATAATTATTTAGCTCTTTGTCGCATACGTTAGAACGGAGTGCGTAAAAATGAACGAGGAAGCTAAGAACAAATATTGCGCATTTTTGCGCATTTAAATAGGCCGAAGGAAGTGAAAAAGTCCGATTATTTTAACCATTTCGTAATATAATACGAAGAGCAAACAGCAAGAACAACGGAACTGTTCGTAAATACTAGCTTCACTGAACCTTTATTTTAAGCACAAGTCGTTATTGCCTTTCGTAAGGAATTGTCCAAAGCAACCAAATTAATCGCGAGAGTGTGACGAGCTTAATAAATATACGAGTATACGTAGATAGGGAAAGCACGAGCAGTGAGAATAATGATATGTTTCAGGTGGGTACTTCCCGTAACACCCGCTACGTAACGGTGACCTCGACACTGAAAAAGTCTTTCACGACAGTGGAGCCCTCGGGATCCGTATCTCTAAGCGAACCTCTCACAGAGAACATCCTTGCAAACACGGGCGCAGCCTATGAAACGAGTCTACCATTGGACTCGTCGGTAGCCACCTTACCTGCCATTGTCCTTGAGCCGAGTCAAGTGACTCCACCTCTCGAGACCATTACTGAAACCTTCTCTACAATGCAGACTCTCCTCAAGACTCACTTGTTGCCAATTATCACTAACGGTAGTACAACCACCCGACTGACCCTTGTCCAAACTTACAACGTTGCGCGGATCGTCACCGCAACCAAAACCTTGCCGCCGCCCGAAATTTATCAGTTTGTTCCCAGCAAGACCCTCAATGAGTTCAATTCGAAGCTCGATGAAGCCGGCAGTGAGCTCCATCTCGAGCTCGATTTTGGCGATGACGAGCATGACGACGAAGACATACCCAAACGAATCGTTGCTCCGAACACCGACCTCGATGCCGACCTCGATCCATTCAAGACACAAACGACGACGACAAGACCCAAACTCGACCTCCTCGGCAGTCAACCGACTAGCGAACTCCCCATGACTCCTGAACAAATCCAGCAACTGGCTTTCATCAATCTTCTGGGACAGCAGCAAAAGCAGCAACAGAAACAACAGCAACAACAACAGCAACAGCAACAGCAACAACAGCAGCAGCAGCAACCTCAGGTCAATTACTTCTCAATATTCTCTTTTATTCTGTTTTCTTCTCTTTAAATAGATGCTTAAAAGATACTTGAATTTCTGGCTCATTCTCTTACTTAATTGTAGCATGTAAACAAAGTAAAGTACACTAAAACAACGTCGAGAACAATTTAACCGTACATTATGTTAATAAATTAAAATATTTCGCTGCAAATGAATACTCATAATTTTATAAAGTTATCGGTATTTGTTAAGCAAATGTCCATGAATTTCGGAGTGATTTAAAGGAGCCATTACATAATATAAAGCCATTGTAAGGTAAAAAACAAAGGAAGATGTTAATGAAAGCGTTGTTAACTTGATGAATAGGTGATAGCAACTTCGAGACCAATAGTAGTACTAGAGACAGTCTACGAGTCGCACGTAATACCACTGGTGAATGCCGGCAATACTATTTATTCGACATTGAGCCGAGCTGTTGCAACGATACCACGCACTTCATACGAATACGGCACATCGACGATATCACCGCTGCTGGCACAAGTACCCCAGGTACCACAAGTTCCCCAAGTGCCGCAGGTACCTCTATTTCCACAAGCGCAGCCTCAATTCACGGTGACGAGTGCTCCAATCGTCCAGCAAACGGTCGCCACGGTCTCGGACTCGCGTGTGCTCAAGCTAACCTTCGGCGCCAAGAACACGGCTTGTCCCGACCGAGCGCACGACCTACGTCACTTCCACGATAGCGTTGCAGCCAGCTGTACCCAACTTTCCAGGCTTCTTTCCTCCAGCGGTCGGCTACGCCGGATATCCTTTCGTCGGTTAAGATCACAGCTTCAAATCGTCAAAACGAACTTCTAACCCAAACCAGCATCTTTCACAGGAATCAATCATTATCGCTTTCTATATACTTAGATCGATCGTCTACTTTCTGTTTTACACTTAAATCTCGAGATTCTCGGAGAGTCGGCTGATTAATCGAACTGTATTTGAGATGACGACGATCTTTTGGCACTTGGAGGCCAATCTTCCTCTCGTTACAAATAGATATCAAATCTTACTTGGAGATATATCCTTCCTAATCCTTTGAAGTTGCTGTAAATTAAATTGATACCCCGAACAAAGAGATCGTTGAGATGAAATTATTGCGATATAATTGAAGACAACTTTTATATGTGTTATTAGATTTTATTTAAAAACAATTAAGTTATTTGATATTTATAAAAACCGTTATGAATTTTTAGTGCTGTTTAACCACTATTTCTTAAAAGAGCTTTCAACTAATAATTAACATAAGCTATTCTGCTCTATATTTAACAAAGTACACGTCACTTGAACAAAAAAAAAAAAAAAACAGTAATGGATCGAGCAATCGTTTAATAATGCTGGCAACTTTGTTCATAAGTAATTTTTGTTTTTACTAAGTAAACGTGAAACCGCTATACATAATATACATTGTTACAATTTGTTTACGTATATGTGAAAAAATACCAAGGCAGTTAAGATATAAACGAAAGTCAGCGGCATTACAACGGTATTGAAATCACCAGAGCAATCGCCGGTAACTATTTAACATTCTATTTTGCCTTTTCTTGAGTTTAAATCTTAAATTTCTTCTTTTTTTTTTAATTACTCGACCGAAAAAGAAAAAGATAAAATGTGACCCAACAATACTAAAATAAAAACGTTTAACGGTCATTATTCAAGATACTCGCAATTTATCTTATAAATAAATTTGTATTGTAAATAAATTATTTTTACATTTTACAATGATATTATATTTACTCTTTATTTACAAAAATTATATATATATATATATATATATATATATATATATATATATATATAATTTTTGTAAATAAAGAGTAAAGTAAAACTCAAATATCGTGTTTTTTAAATTTGCATCTTCTTTACCTTGAACTTCTTTAACTTGAAAGGAATGAAATGACGTCAGTAGGTAACGTCACGAAAAGAAAGGGAAATCATGCAGTATATGGAAAAGAAAAGGAATAAACTTTCTCCAGACAGATGGAGTCAAAGATTGGCAACCTGGTTGACTGAAAATTTGATCCTTGAGTAGCGAAGATGGAAAGCGTATAGCCTCTCTTTACCCGCTACTTTACATTCGAATCTTATTTATAATTATTTTGATAGTCACAACAGCGTAGTCTTATAAAGTGGCTATTATAAATACCGTGCAATTTAACGTAAATTTTCTTTGGTAAATAAAAAAGAAAAAAATTAATTACACGTAACAAGTGGTTACGTAAGTATGTTAGAATTATTTGTTATCCGAATGCAAGTGAATGATTTATTTTGTGAATAATTAAAAATGCAACAATATTATATAAACACATGCACGTTAGCCGTAAAATTAAAAAGATTCGAATGACGCGAATCGATAATGTTCGTAGCCAAGAAACCTACTTCATGCACTCAACACATATTCCCCACGATACATGCAATTACTTATGTTAATAGCGCAGTGCATACGATAATGGCCACTTTAATGCTTGAAAGTTACGAGCTGCTCCTCCTTCTTGATAGCCTGGATGAGAATTAATGAGAGGATAGCTTGAATCACCTGTAATACGGAGACACGTTAGGTTAATTATGCTGATCGAGAGGCTCAACTAGCTGTAGAGCTGTGAAAAGGTTGAATTATTCATACATGAATCATGCAGAGGCCAAGTGCTAGACCAGCAAGCCATCCAGATCGCGCTTCAAGGAACCAGGTGAGCTCTTCTACACAGCCATGGAAAAAGGCATTCCCTGTCACCGTGTCGCGGCATTCGGTTGGTAATGGCTTCAGCAAGGTAAGATAGTCCATGGGGCCATCCGCGCCACAGCAGCCAATCTAAGATTAACCCACTCGTACTCATTCTAGCTTATACCCTCTTTTTTTTCTTTATTTCTAAATCTTAAAACTATTATAAAATCATTCACTTGTAGTTATTATTTTTCAATGCTTCATACTACCTACGTGCATACATCTCATACATTTTTTACGTTTGCATTTCCATGATTGTTTTACGATTTAAAACCATAAAAAATGTTTTATAGTAACCGAACTCGTACGGATGAAAAATGTATAATTGATGTGCGATGTGCAAGCACATGAATAAATATCTTTAAATAAGCATTTAATCGAGACTATATTTTAAAAATAAAATTAAAAAAAAAAAGAACAATAATAACTTAAATTGTATCTAATTTTTCATCGATAATGACTAGTGCGTCTAATGATTTATCATGACTCATGCAATATTTTACTTGCCCATAAATAATTCTAAAGGCATACATATGAAAAATAACTATGTACATAATTAAAAAAAAAACATATATTTCTGCTTAAATATACAATTAACGTTATTCAATTAATCGAACATTGTACTTTTTTCAACATTTAATGACTATGATATAATAATTATATTCCCATCAATACGAGTGCATTGCCATAAATATGTTAAATTTTGAGACTGCATTTAAGTGAAACTGCGAGCAAAAAGCTTTGAAAGCTAAGGTTAGATAAATGAGTGGCTCGAAATGTTGAAAAAAAAAAAAAAAAATTGAAAACTTGTGATAGTAATAGTTGATGGATAGTAATAGTAAACCAGATAGTTATGAAATGGAAAGAGAAAAAAATAATCTTACATTTTCTTGGACCATTCTCAAGACAACGGAGACACGTGTATGTTGGGAGTTAATAATGAGATTTGTCATGGACTTCCTGATGAGTGGCTGTATCTGACTATCATAGGTAGAATAGTCAAGAAGGACAGCCGAGCCAGCAAGAGCAAAGACGAAGGAGAGCCCCTGCAATCCGATGTTCTGAAGACAAATGGTCGTTATTACGATTGATAATAAAATTGATAATAAAAATCATAAACTTGTAAATTTTACAATACATTGATAATTTAATAATACGTCGATCGATATTATTGTTCCTACAATAGTAGCTTCCAGTATATTTATATAATCATTAAGCAGTATCTTTAAGTAATAATTATTATTGAATTATTAATAAGACATTTGAATTGATATTCTTAATTAATGTTCTTCTTTCTTTTAATATTTTGAAATATGAAAAGAAAGGTATTAAAGAATATTAACAAATTTAAGTCGTATACTTTAATTAACTATAAATATGAATTTAATAATAAAAAAAAAATTGAATAGAATTAAAGTACACACGCACGCACGCGCGCGCGCGCGCGCGCACACACACACACACATATATGTGTGTAAATATATAATATTAAGAACTGCAGTATAAGTAATAGATTAATTATCAACATTATTAAACAATTTTTCTTTTAGTAGATAAAAATTTTTTCTTGAATATCCTAATAAGAAATTATTCCTTTAAATACATTAATAATTCACTGCGTTAATTAGACACTAAGCCACTAATGCAGTAGCTATATCAATTATTGAATTCGAAACGACAGAATAAGTAAAATTTAATTTGAAAAAATAAATACCATGGCCATTTGTTATCCCGTGATAAAAGTTATACTTACCACAAACAGCGCTGGCTGACTCTCCATCAATGAGGACGCGCATCCCACGAAGGATATTGCAATTACAAGAACTGCTGCGAATATCAATATGTTTACACCAATATAGAACTCATTGATCTGGAGGAACTCAACCCACTCTTGAAAACCCGGCTCAATCCTTAACCAGAGCGAGAGGCCAAAGGTACCACTGCCGAGGATCTGTGAACAAAGTTCATCGCTTATTTAAACCGCACTAATCTTATCTAAATCTACTTCCGCGCGACATCCAATCTCTGTCCTATTGCTTTATCGTCAAAACGGCCCCACATTTTCTCTCTAGGTACCGCTCTCTCTCTCTCTCTCTCTCTCTCTCTCTCTCTCTCTCTCTATCTGCGTGTACGCTATGATATGATACGAGCGTTAAAATTTAGTTTTTTACAGAAATTTTAAAAAACACATAGATCTACGATAATCATGATCATCGTGTTTAATAAATTATATTATTATTCACTATCTGACTAATTCAAATATTACATATTTATTTTTAATATACATTTCTTAATTTCATTTTTACTTTCAGAGATGGCAAATTTTATGCATTTATGAGTCCTCTTTAACGATTTATGTAAAATCAATTTAATATCAATAACAATTATATTATTTATCATATATTTATTAGTGGTTTTTCATATACAACTTTAGTCATGAAATCATTGCATATTATTCATTAACAAAAGTATAAATTATAATTTTAATTTTATTATTGTAAAAGTTACAAAATTTATGGCAAAATTTTTATCTAATAGCGTAGTATTATAATTTAGTAGAATTATAATAATTTTAAACTAATTGTTTAATTTTAAAAGTATTAAACATAATTAATAATAATCTATAAATTAGATTTCAAATTAAATTAAATGAAGAAAAAGGCTGTAATAATAAAGCACAATAATGGTAAAATTCAAACGATTTATATATTATGTCAATCAAAATTATTAATAGTATATGATTAAGGTATACACTTATAATATTAATAAAGAAATAAATTTTTATTTTATTTTCAGTGTGCAGAAAGTTGACAATGTAAAATTAATGCTAAATTATTTGCAATAATTATAACTTAACATTAACAAATAAATATTTGCAATTACATTGTGAAGAAATCATATTTTAATTTTTTTGTCAATTATTAGTAAAATTTTTTAATTTTTCGTAAAAATACTTGGAATTTTCTTGAATAATTACCAACAGTATACATTTATCCAATTTTTTTGTAATATGTCAAATATACATAAATGATTCATTTATTTCAAAACTTACAGAATATGCGCATATAAATCATAAGTGGATTTAATCAAATTGGAAATCACATCAGGAAGATTAATAATTAAAAAAGGAAATAATTATGCGGAGGCATAACAACGAAATTGCATCATTTTATGACGATATATGAATCTGAACAATTCAAATAAAGAAATAAAGAAAGAAAGACAAAAAATATGTAAAAAACAAATATATATTAAATTATTTACTATTTATAAGTTAATAAAGTATAATTTAAATTTTATCAAGTATATTTTTAATCCTATATTTCAATATCCTCTAAAATTGAAATATAATTCATTGAATTTCATAAAAATTCAACACCCAAATGACTTACTATTTTTACGCCTACACCATACATCTATATATGCTAGAAAAATTGTGTAATACTATATTCCTTCCTATGTCATATTTTGAGCTCTCGTCTCTGTTGAATTGTTAAAGTATACAATAGATTATTAAATGTGAATGGTATAATTCCCTCTGTATAAAGAAACGCTATAGATGAAGAGGAAAAGAAACCATCAACGCAAAGAGACTTGCGTTACGTGTCATTTTCCAGGTCGAGGCTTATCGGATCACGCGTGCGCACAACATTCTCAACGCTAGTACACTCTTCATTACGATTTCCAAAAAGTTGAATCTAGATTGTGTCGTTATAGTCTAAACTAACATCGGTTGAAGTAATAAATTCAATTTCTGATTTTCAATAAGAGTTAATGTGAAAATGCAAGGCTTTCGACATGAAAGCACTAGAATAATATTCCAATTGTATTCGATTCGTGTTAATGCATTCGATTATTTATTTTAAAAATTATCAACGCAAGAAATTTAGACAACAGTCTATCAGGAAATAATCCGTCAATTTTTTAATATACGGTATACTTTATTAATAGTAATCCATCTTATCTAAAATAAATAGTAAACTAACGTTTGTAGAGAATTTTTTTAATGTTAACGAAATGTTCATTAACAACATATTAAATAAAATATTAAATAAATTTTAAATAATATATTCGAACACGTTATAGATATGTAGGGTATGGGTACATAAATGACCGAAAGTTTAACGTTCATCCAAATATCCACAATTTAATAAATGGAGCAATTATACTAATTTGCAAAATTATAAGCGATATACAATGCAATCGATTTATATTGTAAAAAAAGAATAAAAAAATTGAATGATTTTACAAATGTTAATAAACATTATTAACCAAACAGACAGAGGGAGAGAGGGATGTGAATATAAGAATGGAGCAACGAATAAAACAATGTCAAATCATGTCAAAGTGCATCACAGTACATATCAATTTGTATATTCGAAGTGAAAGCGACAATGATTCGGCCGATAAGAGCCGCGTACTCACCCACATGATAGCACTGAAGCAGAAAAGCGTGTACTTGATACACTCGATCCTGCGCTCGAGCAGTGCCGCGTTAGAGTTTTGTATCTTTGGAACCATCTTCTTGTGATTACGGGCCAAGACTAAGCCCGGTATGCCAGGTGTCCGCGACTTCCTTATCGCCGGTAACTAGTCTGATAACGAAGATAAGCCCAAGCCCCGCCCTACGCCGTAATTGAGCAACACGATACCGCCTACCGATCATGAGCATGTGCAGGAAAGAATTACACATCGAAGAAAGAGTCGGTACTGGGCCTTCCCTAGCCAAGGCCACTTGTTTGTCAAAGTTTTTCCATAATGGCTAAATTAGCTAAGGTACTATTTTAAGGATCAACAGTGTCTCAAAGTGCCTATCTTGGTAGCTGTACAATATCAACTGTTACTCCAATAAATTCGCAAATTGCAAATATCTCAAACAAGCTTATATTATTAATATTAACATGCGTCGTTCGATCTTGGTAAAATTTTAATAATTAATATTTTCTACTTGACCTATTGTTTAATTTAACTTATATTAATTTCTTTTTAATTTCGCAAACAATTTATAAACGATGTGTTCCAATTTTTTTTTCCTCATGATTCATATATGAAATAATAAATAAAATACAAACTGCTGTGTGCAAAAAAATCTTATTCATTTTATTCGAATAATTTAATACGTAGTTTAATGGAAACATTGTTATACTATCCTCTATTTTAGAATATGCAACGTCTAGTTGAGACACTGATATAATTATAGGCTGAAATATTATATTATTAAAAATTTTAATCAATATATCAGTGTATTTTTAAATATTATTTCAAATTATATATAGTAGGAAAATATTCTTTCTAATAATCTTAATATAATAATACACACAAATATTTTTAGCGATAGTTTTCGCTGACTCATACTGTTACAAATTTAATTATCACGAAAGAGTCTGTATCTGTAAATGTAGATCCTATTATGGAGATATTTCATTTTAATTAAGTTGAATATATATAGCTTTACTCTTTAAAATAATTATTTTGTTTAGCTAATTATACAGAGTTTAAAATTTATTGTAATTTCGGTAAATAATATTCTATTTAACCTTTTGCTGTTTAAATCAAATATAAAAATTATTAAATATAATTTTTCATAAATTTACAAATTACATGTCCATTGCTACTATAATAGCTTTTTCATAATATAGTTTTTTAATTATATAATTAGATATATTCAAGTTAAATAATATTTTGTATTTAACTTTAATTGTTATTATAGATAAGGGGAACACTTTTATTTATACAGAAAACCAAAGAACGTGTAAACTTTTGAAAATTAAGATTAAATCCAGAATTCAATAAAAATAGTAAACATTTTTGCATAATGAATTCTAAATAATCATTTAATACTTTAGCTTAATATTATATATTGTCTACATGACTATATCTAAAACTCTTGTGCTTTTACACTATTTAATTCTAATTTATTTAGTTTTTAATATATTTTGAACCTGTACTTAATCGATAATAAATAAATTTTACTTTATTTTCATTTTAAATCATGTTTTTTATATTTTACAAATTCACTATGAAATTTTATCAAATATGTAAGACAAAATTGTATGGTATATAATTGAATTTTACGATTCTTATGCACGCATACGTCAAATAATACGTATGTGTTTTACAATCAAGGTATCTATGTATATAATACAGATGTAATACGTGGTGGCGTATAAACGGAATGTACAAAAGTTATAAAAACACTATGGTTCATATATACTAAGCATTACAACATATTGTATTTAAGGTGAATTATATAGATTTATAATGATACGTCAATAAATAAATTTATCAACTAATGATTACATTTTTAAATTTTTATTTTCCTCTATTAAAAAAAAACCAAAGATATAATTAAAAAAATTAAAATTTTAATTATGAAGCTCTTCGTTAACTTTTAAAACTAACAAATATTGTAATAAGATTAATATAAAATAATTTTGATAATGAATTTGAACACATCAATATTTAGTCTTTTATTTTTATTTTTTTATAAATAGCAATGAAATTTCAAAAAACATTAAAAAATTTTTTTTATATTTTTCAACTCTAATTTTATTCTTCGGATATTATTTATTATTTATACTGCTCATAAAAAATATTAAAATTTAAATTTAAATCTGGCGCATTTCTACTAATCTAGTGTATTTATTAGCAGAATCTTTCTTTAGAGTGAACGTCAATGTCATTTCAAATCAATAAGTATTTAACATTTTTATTAAAAAATTTTAAACACATTCGAACTAAAATATGTATTAATACATGTATTAATCTATTTAAGATGTATTTATGTTAACCTTTTAAAAAATATAAATCCACGTTCATAGCTCCACGGCTTATTTTCAAAACTATTTAGTTTCTAACCAAAACTGTTATATAATATATTTATACAATACACAATATACAATACAATAGAAAATATAATTACATAATTTCTGTAGTAATGCAATTATATTTTTTAAAAATTTTAATCAGTGAAATAATTCTTCAAAAAATAATAAAAAATGTACATATTTAATATCATACCATTTTCATGAAATGAATACTTCAAGATTATTCAAAAGTTGTTACAAATTTCAAATCACTATGTCTACGAAAACTAAACCTAATTATTATGACATATTGAAAATTCCATGCAATAGTAATCAAAAAGATATTAAAAATGCTTATTATAAGCTTTCAAAAGAATATCATCCAGATAAAAATAATTCAATAGCAGCGAAAGGAGTATTTCAAAATGTGTGTAGTGCTTATGAAGTGTTAAGTAACAAAGATAAACGCTTGCACTATGATCATCAATTAAATATCAAAAGGTATCCAAAATATACAAATTCTGAAGCCAAAGAAAAACTTAAAAAAGATGAACTTTTTAGGTTCAACAAATTGAATAAAAACTCTTTTATGTTTACACATAAAATATATACAAATAATTTTAATAACAGATCAAATAATTTTAGGCAATATACTTACCATATGCATGAGCATTCGAGAGAAACATTTTATGATCCATATGACAAAAATTCATATAAAATTAATAACATCTGTGTATTGATTTACATTACTATCTTTTTATTTTTGATTAAGGAAGAGTGTAAAAGTATGGATGAAATTGATAAATTTTATAAGAACAATAAGGGCAAGAAGAAATGATCTTTCCAATATGTATTGTTGAGGTTAAATAAAATATTACTTATGTTCTTAAGCATTAATTATCCTTGTAGAAAAATATAAAAATTGTATTATACAAAAGAAATAAACATTTATTTTGAAAAATATATATTTTATTACTAATGCCAACCATTTACAATATCGTTATTATTAAAAAACTTCTAGACTACCCATTTCAATGTTAATATAAGCTGAAGTATTGTAATTTAACGTACAAAATTATTAACAAATATCAGTTCATAATAATTAAACTATTTATAGTCTTAAATATTCTAATAACTTGAGATGTTTCATAAATACATGTAATTAAAACAAATAAGAAAAATAACTTAAATAATTTCAGTAGAAATTGTACTGAGTATTTTTTATATTATGAGATTAATACATCAAATAATTTACAATATAGAATGTACTTCTATAATAAAATATATTAATACCGATGAAAAATTTAAAACGGTTTTAAAATAGGAGGCACTGGCATAGGCATAGGTACAATAAAATTGCCAGCAATTGGGTATCCTGGATTTGTAGAATGCATCAAAGGTTTTCTCATTAATTCTCTCATTTTATCAACTTTTACTTTTCTCATATGCATAATTTTACGTCTTGTAAGGAATTGTTCTAAAAATTCATCTACTTCCATTTCGCCACCTAAAAATTTTTCAGCTACTTTCTGAAATTGAAATAAATGAATCGATTAATAGTTATACATAATTAATATCGAATAAACCAATAAAAAAAATATTTTCAAACCTCAGATTCTTCTTCGATTTCTGTTGCTGCAGCTTGTAAAAGATCTAATGCAGTGTCAACTGTTATAGAGTTAGCTCTATTTGCTACAAAATTAATTTATTTATAATTAAAACAGCATTTAATTGAGAATATAACAAACTATATGATTACTTGTTAAAATACATACATATTTGTTCAAGCTTTTCTTGTACACTTAAACACAATTGATTACCTTCCTCGCTAAGAGTTTGAATCGATATTTTAGCTTCTTCTAATTCAGGTTCTTTTGATAAATTAAATTCAGCCAATGAATGATTTCTTACCATTATCTCATCTTTTTGTGCTTGTAAATTTAACAACTAGAAATAATAATTTTCTATGAATAAAATTCAGTTACATTCAATAAAATATCTAAATTTTGTAAAGGATTGAAGAAATGAATTCATAATTAAAACCTGTTGATTGTCTTTAATAATTTCTTCAAACTTTGTATCGTCGTTTAACAGATTTTTCAATTCATCTGTACTGGAATTGGAAAGTGAACCTACAGTAGCTGATATGTCAGGCTCAATATTGGTTTTAAACATTTTAAATGCGTTTTATAATACAGAGCTAAAAATAATGAAAAATATCGACTAACACGCGATATTTAATTTGATTAGAATAAAATTTGTATATCTTGATAACTGTAAATGAACGTCATTGCTAATAATTTAAGACTTCCAAATACTTAGTATTGACTAACGAACAATGTAAAAGATAGTAAACTTTTCACGAAACTTGTGAATCTTGATTAGTTACTCTCTTCATTGCTTGCTAACCTAGTATAGTTCAATGTTGTAATTTGGATAATGTGAAGCTTCAAGAAGAAACAAATAAGATAACTTTAAGTTATCTTAAATCTTTTATGATTTGGATACTACGCATTGGAAATTTTACTATTTGTATATCGGACTTTAAAACATTAATTTAAATATTGTAACTGTAAAAAGTTAACTTTTATAGAAAATAGAAAGAGTACGGTTACGACGTATTTTCAGTACTTAATATCTATAATTATTTTAAAATACGTTTCACAATTAAATTTGAAAGAAACGCTGAGTTTTTCTTACATTATGAAATATATATTAAATTACATTTTTCTCAAAAAAAATTAAAAATATAAATGAAATAAACTTCTTGCATTTTATTCCAGCTTGCAAATCAAATAATATATTTAATTGAATAAATAATAGTCATCTATAATTAAAAACAATATTTTTATTTTATAATGCATCATTACAGGTTTATTAAAAGTATTTTTTACATGAAATTTATTTAAAAATTGATAGATATTCAAAGTAATATATTGCATCATTGTATTAGTTTATATCATGATTGAGTAAAAAGAATTTTTATTTGTTAAATAAATACAATTATCATACACAATTGATGAAATGAAAAGAATTTAAAATTTAATATTTATTTAATTTATAATGCTGATTATAACATTATAATTATATAAACTATAAAAATTTTGTTCAAATATTTTCAAAGTATTACTGCTTCTAAAAAATAAATCTTTATTTTTAATATTTTAAAACCTTAGTCTATATTTAATGATAAAGAAATATGAATTGTTGAACGAAACATATAAAGTTCAAAATACATAAACCTTTTTATATTATTTGGTATCAAGATTTATAAACCTAACATAAATTTAACAAATGTATAATAAAATTGAATGTTTATCAATATTATCATTCTTTATAATTGTTTAAATAAAAACAAGAAGAAATAGATATAATTGAACATTTTATTTAACATATAAAAGTATATTATATTATATTATATATTATATTACATATTATATTATAACATAATATGTTATGATCATATGAATTTTACGAATTTTTTAAAATATAACCTATAAGTTATCTTAAAGAACGCATTTAGAGTATCTTCTTTTATCTGTGTTATTATTGACTTTTTAATTGATACGAACAGTTTTACGACAATTTTGCTGTGAAAAGTAAAACAAAAATTGTTTATCATGTATAGCATAAAGACTTGTATAAAATCAATTATTGAATTTCATAAATTAAAGAGCATTAGTCAAATATGTACGTATAATATTTTTAATTAAAATATAAAAAGAGAGGTTAAATTCATTATAATTAATCATTTTTTATTTGTAATACAAAATTACTTGTTTGTTTACTTTATCAAGGGGCTTTATATTAATATATTATATGTTAGTTATTATTATCAATATTTTCTTTTATAGCTCAGAGGCATATAAAAAGACATATTCGACCAACTTTAATTGAATTAACAAAGCGTAAAAGAAAGTTAAAAGAAACATTTTCAAATCCACGAAATGAGTATCTGGAATGGAATTGGAATGCTGAATTATTTGCATTTAATAGTAGACTGACAGAAAAGTTTGATTTAGAACTATTGAAACAAGCATTTACGCACAGATCATACATTATTAATGAAACAGAAAAACAGAAGCAAGTTGGAATTGAAAATCCAATATTGGATCTAGTAGATAATACAGAATTTATAATAGAGGGAGAGCAAATAGTACCTTTAATTATTGAAAATTATTTAAGCCATGCTTTACCACTTGCTCCGCAAGAATGTATTTAGTAAGAGATTTATTACATGCTTAATTTAATTTAAATAATTCATATTATTATAGACATTTGTAAAATGTAAAATGTTTTTATTTTAGTGCTTTAAAAAATTATCTTCTTTCTACTGAAATTCTTGCTAAAACATCTTCATGCATTGGAGTTAAGGATTTAATTTTATCTATGGTATCTTTGTTATTTTTCAATAAATCTCACACCGATTTACTTAATCCATTTAATAATTTGATCAAGTATTTATTCCGTTACTAGGAAAGACATCCGACTGAAGAAACACTGGCTAAGACATTTTATGCATTAATATCAGCTTTAAATCGCAGTGTAAATTTAGAGCACGCGAGTCTTTTTGTTCGTGACATTCTAATATCATTATTAGTAGAGAAAGATTTAACTGAAATATGGTGTGTAGAAGATCCAATCAGCATTTTAAATGATATACTTAGTAGAGAGAATAAGGAACTTGCAGAACCAAGAATAATTGCTCAAACGGGAATAAACACACTTTTATCAGTTTATCAAATTGCTGTTTATTCTAACAAAAAATTCTTAGGCTCTGGTAGGTAGCAAAACTTCAAAAGCCTATCTTGTTATAAGCAACTCATTAGAATATTTTGCTTACAATGTTTAAGGAATTGGTGAAACAATTGAAGAAGCTAAAAATATGGCAGCACTTAATACGCTTCATAAGATGTTTGGTCTACTGGATTCTAGTAAACCGATAAGATGTAATTTGAAAATAGATGATTCTGGTTCAAAAAATTTACCACTTACAGAATGGAGAAGTCAAAATGCTTAAAATATATAATGCTGTATCAGAAAATTTTTTTGAATAGTTACAAAATAAGTTTAGATAGAAAAGAATAAATATAAAAAATCTTTGTTAAATTAGATGGATGATTCTATATATTTAAAAGTAATAATGAATAGCCTATAAATTATTAGTTATTTAAAATGAATAATCTATTAAATTAGATGTAACGGACAAATAGTATACAGATTTTAATTGCCAATTTTATTTATACATTAAATCACCTCATAAATGAAAAATTTAAATAAAATTATTTATAAATATTTCGTCTTATAATGTGTAAAAAGAACGAAACATTTATAAAAAAAAAATTATCGCATCCGAATATGTACAATTATCATTATGAGATTAAAATATTGATGTATATACAATACAAATGAATATAATTAGATATTAATAATTGACGGCATTTCTTAAACAAGACATGTAACAATGATGCATGATGAAATTTTATATTTTACATTTGTTTAATAACCGAATTCGTGAAATCGTTTTGGAATTTGTCAGACAATTTTTTTTCCAGTCTTAATCAATTAAACATTTTTACATGAATAATTAATTAATGTTTTCCTCGTGGCTCAAATTAAGAAGTGCGATTTTGATAGCACAAGTAATAGGATTTGAATACATTTTTTAAAAATCATTGTCAAATAGAAAAAACAGGAAAGATGATTGATTCAAAGGAAAAGTAAAGATATTTTCGCCAGTTCAATTTACAGGGATTGAGATGGATAAATACGAAGTCATACGAGTGTTTCACCAGTGCGCACCTATAAAAGGCTAATGTATCGAATGAATCCCTACCATCGTGCGACTTGCATGACTCCAGTGCATTCTTTCACTCGACTTTTATGTTGCTCATTCTTGGTTAAATAAAAAGTCCTCCCGATTCAGCGATTAACAGCGTCGCGCATAAGGGAACGCGATGAATAATTTGAACTCAGCCGAAGCAGAGAAAGTATTGGATCAATGCATTCGCGCCTTTAGTTTTTTTAGTCGGATCACAACCCGACTTTACGCATCAATATGAGTCACAAAAAATGATTGCCCAAGAAAAGTAATCTACAACTAAAAGAATCTGCAGCCCGGGATAATGAATAATCCGTCGTTTATACCATGAATCAAAGGAAAAAAGATTTTTAAAAATTTGAAAATACGTATAATTATGACAGTATGACTTCCTTTTTTACCCTGTTTTCTTAATTTTTAAATTTCCAAAGCTCTCAGAGTTATGAATAATGCTACGACTATCTAACATTTCTTATCGATAACACCACAGACAAATTCACATACTACATGCTTTTAAGTAAACAAAATCTCCTTCACTTAACATTCTCATAACTCTTTCACATTTGATTACAATTCATAACGAAAAAGCAGCTGAATTTTAAATTATAAAATAAGATATAATTGTTCTGATAAATTAAATTATTTTGACGAACTTATCGATAATTAAAAAATGTAAAAAAATATGATAAAAGTAGTCGACGCAGCAACCAATTTTCAAGTCGACGATACTTGATATTTATGATGACTCAGGCAAATTAGATGTAGAGCTGGTACATTCCAACCAGAGTACGATTATAATTCCTAAACCAACGAATTCCAAAAGACAAGAAAGTTAAATTAAGTTTTCCATTTAATTGAATTTCATTTACATTTAAGCTTTGAAGATGCATCATTTTATAATAATTGTCCATTCTCTCATAAAAATTACCGAATGAAAGGGGGTAAACGACAAGAAGAAAAATTTCGTGCAAAACTGATTATTTCTTAAATAAAGTTTACACTTTTCTAATCCTATACGGAAGTACAATAAACAAGCGCATTGTATACATTTTTGTACATAATTATAAATGTTTACGATTGTAATATACAAATAAACCATTAGAGCGATGACTTTTATTTTTAATACATCAAATTTGCGAATAATTCTCAAATAATACAAATTATCATTTTTAATACTTAATCTGTATACTTTCTGGGCCGTTATAAAGTGTAAAGTTATGTTCCACCGAACTCAATAGTCTGCAGACATCTATTTCATTAAAATTAAAATAAGCGAATCACAGAATTTCGCGTATCAATATTATTTGTAATTCCTGGGAATGCAAAATAAAGGGCGAGAGAGGGAAGGGACTGAAAGAATAATACTATCCTTGTATAACACTACCTCGTTCGCTCGCTTGCTGTAGTTAAATCGATTTTTCAATATGGCCTGTATATACTATATTATATATACTGTAGTATGAATCCCCAGATCCTGACAAATACATGCACGCGTCTCCAGTATCTCTCTCTCTCTCTCTCTTTTCCTTTTTCTATGTGCGCGCGGAGATCCGAGTTGAAACGAGCTCGTATATTGATTATTTACAGTTGAGTCTATCCCCTTTAAGCTGGTTCATCCTTGCCTCTTTCCACGCGACCCCACTCACACGCCTGCGTCGCTTCGCCAGGGTGCCGACGTCTATCGTCTCCCTCTTCTCTCTCGCTCTCACCATATCCCCTCCCCTCACCCGCCCCCTCTCACTTTCAAGACTCCCATGACCGAGCATCGCGACCAGTCGAAGGCCAGAATACACGAAAGGGAGAGAGAAGAGAGAGAATAAGCAACGGAGTCGCCAACCGAGTTTCTCTCACGCGCGTGCGCACTCATCACACTACGAATAACCACGAGCATTTTTGCACCAGGGCCAAACTTTCCTATACATACAAGTTGCATACATATATTCAGCCATACACGGCAAAGAGCAGAGTAATCGCGGTCGCGCTATTCCTGCGTGCAACGACTCAATGGCGCTGCCACACCCTTTCAACGTCGTATAATCAGAACTATTGTCTTTTCAGCTTCTCTCCGTCTGTACCAGTCTTCAAAACTGCTCTAAAGTGAAGCCAAGTAAATGATGAAGGACCGGGCAACATAACCTCAGTTGCGCAAAACCGAGACTTTAAGCAAGAGAATTTGATGCTTAGTGGTTGGAGGGTAGGGTGGAAAGAAGGAAGGATCAACGTTATTATCAACTAATATTACATTTATGGATCATGATTTGTGGTAGCACGACCTTCTAGCGTACATATTTTCTCTCCATCTTTTACCATCGAATTGCGTCTAAAGTCTTGTATCTGTTTGCTATTTGTTAGAGCTTTTTTTCTTATATCGACGATATAATTACCAATCGGTATTTACAAAACCCTGATTGACGAGCAACTTCATCCATAAGCTAAATTAAGTTACAAAGTTTCCATGCGTTAGCGAGTTTGGTTCAAGCTCAATAGATGATGCATTTTGGTAACGTTAACTCACCTGTGTAGTAGTCACAACGATCGATATCCGCATACAAATAAGAAACATTTATTTGGTGACAATTGTGAATTTTAATAGGCCAGAGCAGTTAAAGAAACAAAGCTTATCCTTAAAAAATGCCTTTAAAAGTCTACCTAGAATTAATTTTTGCCTTGGTAATTGATTTTTTGACGTGCTTAAATTCGACGATTTATCGGTTTATTTAACTGTGACATCAATTTAGCTTATTATAAATATCTTTTTATCGCTCAACGATGTTGCAGTTACGAATGAAAATGACTAATCGATACTCTGAGATTAAAGCTGCGATGAAAGTAGAATGTGAAAGACGCATTCTCGCCATGAGAAACACTTGTAGTGCCTCGTGTGTTACAATTAAAACCGAGTATCAGTACCTTTATTAAAAAATTTCTTAATCTCGAGTTTATGCTCTTATGTTGATTTCGGCAATCATCGGAACATTGGTATCTCGACAGGACTTTAGCTTTTGCACAAAATTCACGGGAGAAAAAAGTAATCGATAAAGGGAATATAAATTGAATCGAATAATTAAAAATAAAATTGTTACAATATTGTTATTTTTATTAACTATATTTTTATATATAAAATGTAACCTTTGTAAATAAAAGTTTTTCTATCTAAGCCGTAGTTAATAATTTTCATTGAGATCAATAAAACGAATCTGATTTTTACGCAGTTTCAAATTAATTATCCCTTTTAGCAGTTTTTGCTGTTCGTGATTTATAATACTAAAATAAACTTTGATTATCTAATTAAATTACATATATATTTTTAGTGTCTCGAACAAGTAAAAAATATTTTCTTATCCTTTTTTAATAGAATTGTTATTTTCTTCCTTTTATTACAAATTCCAGCGAATTTAATTTTGTAATTGAAAATATATATATAAAAGTATATATAAAAGCTTGAAATTTTTTACGTTAACAATATAACTGAATATAATGTTCAATATTTTTTCTATTTATAATTGTAGTAGAAATAATCATAGTTTGAGTATCAGCAATTACAGTATCATACTTAAACCAACGCGTATATTTTTGCTCTTTTTATAATTTTAGAGAAATTAGGATTAGAAGGTAAAAATGATATTTGAACATTAAGACTTGAAGTTCAGTTAGATAATACGAATATTATGAAGATGAAGGTTACTATCTACATCGTTTTATTTTATGCATACAGATCAATATATCGAAATTTAATATATAGAAATTTCAAAGTCTAAAATGGATTATTTACCAATTTATAATTGTTAATATCAGTAAATGATCTTTGAAAGACTGGAGGTCAGTGTTATTTTTCAATGTTTTTTTAATACCATAAATATTATAAATTTACTAAGATAATTGTAAACTATTAAAGTAACATAATGTCATAATTGTTTTATTTATTTTATTTTAAAATTATAACGACTATAAAAGTGTTAGCTATTTAATAAATGCATTAGTAAATTATTGCATTAGTTTACAAATTGTTTAACTTATCAATTATCCACGTATATGCATATATAGCGGGGGGGGGGGGGATAGCCACATTTGCGCATATAATAAAATATTGATTTACGAAAAAGAATCTATATGAGAATACATATAGTTATATATTCTATATAAGGATAAATATTAAAATTATAGAGAATGATGAAAAATCAAATGCTCAATATTTTTGTATGATATGCAAGTTTTCACTAAGGGTTTTAATGTAATCAAGAAAAATTA